GCAGGGTACGACAAGCTCATGATAGTAAGAAGCCGTAATTTGCCACCCTATCATTGCCAGTATCTCATTCTATGAAAAGAAAAGGTGTCCTTGGAAAAAATAATGCCCAAAAATACTAATGGTTCCTTAATCTATATTAATAAGAACAATTCCCCTTTGTGCGACTCATCGACCTCACTCACGTTCATATTGCAGATTTAAGTCAAGAAGAATTGGACTGGGCCAAAGGAATGCCAACAGATATTAACAAACCAGCGACTGAGCACAAAAAACGGCTCGAAACTCTCGTTGGGGAGACTGACTATAAATTTTGACTTCCGAGACGCGACCATGTTAGACCGAGTCTACGCCGTGACCACTCAAATAACGTTGTTTTTAACCATTAGCCACATCAAAAGCCCATCGATTTTCCTCCGGTTAACCAAGTCTTAGACGATTATTTATGCAGAGTTCGGGATAGGATGGCGAAGCGGAACTTAAGGAGGTTGCTCAGTGGCGACCCAACCGGGAGGCCTATTTGCTAATGCATCATACGGCCTCTCGACTAACCTTCTCACCTTCGGTCAACGTGGGTACTCAGCAGACTTGAAGACCGCAAACAGGGACTGGACACAAAGAGTCAGGGCAAGAAATGGCCAAAGAGGTCGGCCAGAGGCCCACTTATTCAGCCAGCCTTGGCTTTTGTGTAGTTTCTACTCTGGAAGGCACCCTGGATGTTCGAGACGTCAGTTTAAAGAGACCCACTGGGACGGCAGAAAACGTCTGGAGTCGTCCGTCGGATCTGGCGCAGTTGCAAACGCAGCAACTATGTCGGAGAAGCCGAGTGATTACTTTGGACGCGAGTGACCGAGCACACAGCAGCAGCAGCAGCAGCAGTGAGGAAGAAAGACACTAGCTCTCAGATGGCGGCTCATTCCACGGACCCGACCGTATTTTCAAGTTTAAAGCGGCCGAAATCCTCGCAAGAGCCAGGGGCTAATCGATCCGTGGCCCACAGGCTGGCAATCCATCAACAAACGCAGTGACCTCCGGCTTCCGTACTGGGTGGTGAGACCTCACCTGGACAGATGAAAAAGACAAGCGGGGAGGGCGCAGGTGAGCAGCAATCTTAGTGAAAGCTAACCAAATTGCCGAGTAATCATCAAGCCAGCATCCAACGCGAATGATGAAATTGGGGCAATTAACCACTCAAATGCTGAATAACAGGCCATCATCGCATGAATTACGAGCTCCAGCGGTGATCGTGAAAGTTGTCAATTGTGGTACGCATGTGATCCCACGACAGCAGTCTTTGTGCCTTCACTGCCCTTATCTTCGAGTATTTCTGATGAGGGGTTCAAGTGAGGTCGCAAAACACCAGGCCAATAAATTTCCTGTTGCAGCAGTCGCAACTTCTCCCTCTGAACTGTTTTCTGGAACTCGCCTGTTCGCGTCTATCTAGAACCTAGACCGCTAACAATTCGACTACTAATACTACTACTGCTACTACTATTACTACTAACGCTACTACTACTACTACTACTACTACTACTACTATTAATACTACTACTACTACTACTACTACTGCTACTAATACTACTACTACTACTACTGCAACTACTACTATTACTACTAACGTTACTACTACTACTATTACTACTACTACTACTACCACTACTACTACTACTACTACCACTACTACTACTACTACTACTGCAACTACTACTATTACTACTAACGTTACTACTACTACTACTACCACTACTACTACTACTACCACTACTACTACTACTACTACCACTACTACTACTACTAAAACTATCACCACTAACGCTACCACTACTACTACTACTACTACTACTAATACTACTACCACTTTTACTACTACCACTACTACTATCACAATTACTCCCACTACTACCACCACCACTAATACTACTACCACTATTACTACCACTACTACCACTGTCGCTACTACTACTACTACTACTATTACTACTAACGCTACTAATACTACCACTACTACTGCTACTACTACTACTACCACTACTACTACTACTACTACTAATATTACTACTACTACTTCCACTACTACTACTACTACTACCACTACTAATATTACTGCTAATACTACTACTAATACTACCACTACTACTACTGCTGATACTACTACTACTACTACTATTACTACTAACGCTACTACTACTACTAACATTATTACTACTGCTACCACTACTACTACTACTACTACTTCTACTACAACTACTACTACTAACGCTACCATTACTACTACTACTACTACCATTGTTACTACTACTACTACTACTACTACTACTACTACTGCTACTACTACCAATAGTATTACTACTACTACTACTATTGCCTCCACCGACAGTTTAGTCGATGTTTCCGACTACGTCCACTGCAGGGTGGGACTTGCGCGTGAATGGGTTTATAGTGATAGTAAACTTGCGCAGCCTCCACCGCACTCTCCCCTTCTCCCCCACCTAAGTCCAGTGCCATGACATAGTTAGGAAAACCGGAGGCGGCAGAGTGCGCAGATGGCTGTCACGGTGATACCTGCTCCTAGGCGTACAAACAAAGCTCCTAGCGTGCGTAAAACCAAGATTTTACAAAGCAATAAAAGGGGAGGGGTCCACTTCGATCTCAACTGACGCGGCGTGGACACGCACCTGGGTCTGCCCCAACATCCTCTAGTGTTATTATTAAAGCACATCTCCAATAACACCTATCAGAGCTCAATCTAGCCTCGAGTTGGTCCACTGTGCCACTACTACCAACGTTAATATCGCCACCAGTACTATCACTGATACCCCCACTATCTCTTCTTCCGTAGCTGACGCCATTTCTAGTACTACCATCACCGCTCTTACTACCACTACCATTGCTACTGCTTCTGCTATTGCTTATCCTGCCAACGCTATTACTACTACTACTACTACTACTTCTACTACTAGAAATGTCCCTAATATCACAACTATAAAAAACTGCCATCACCTCCGCAACCACCACTATTAACACTACAATTACTGGCAGTACTACTTAGACCACAAATACCGTACCTACAGTACCATTATTAGTGCCACAAAAATTAAAACTACCCTACCACTACTGAAACCGAAAAAAACTCCTGTCGATATTTTTAGTTTCCTAGAAAATCAGGGCACTGGCTTGAAGTAAGTACTTAGACACAAAGCGTCTCAAGTACGGTCAGAAAGTCAGCAAGAGTAGATGAATTAGTACCTGTGCTGGAGTTATTGCGAATCAATCGGAATTCGAAAGTCGTCGCTACATCGACTATTAAAGACTAGAGTGCTCTTTCTACTTATACTATAATTAGCTAAAATGACATCATTATGGCACCTTCTGACGCCGATGGTAGTACTATTTCTGTTACTCCAATTATTGGTCTTCTGATGGTTCAAGTCCCATACACAAAAAGATTCGATATGTCACTGAATCAAATTTATTTTCTGTCTTTTGTAGTTTTTATCATTTAACCCCCTCAGTAAAATTTCGTGGATTGATAATCGTTCAAATTTTTTATTAATATACTATCTGTACGGTAGGTGGGCTAACTCATGAAATGTCAAATGAAATCCGAAAATGAGTTTTCGTTTAGAAGAGAGTAATTAAGTATGATTCTAAAAATAATAATCCTGCAGCATAATTCTATAATAAATCAATCACCCAGGATGTCGGATTTTTAACAAACTTCTTTCCGGCTTCATACAATAACAACACTCTGAAAAAAACGACTGCTTATATAGCATGAGCTTTTTCAATTACTTTTTGATGTGCTTAAGAATTCAATTATATTTCATGGAAGACATTCATAAAATATTATTATTTTTCTGTTCATTCTAAACAAAATTGCGATTCATCTGAATTTCATACTTGGAGAAAGAGTATAATTCGGTTGCCAAAATCTTTTCCAGTTCCCGAATAATTTTGAACCCTATCTGCCGTTACACCTGCATTCAGGGTTTCCAAATACAAACCGTATATTTTCGGAATTCGGAAAATCACACATTTCTCCACGGTGTTAAGAGGAGACCATATGGGGTTCACAACATTTAACAGTGGAATTGAATCATACTGTAAACTTTACAAGCAACATTAGTAAATGCAGAGACACTTTGCCTTGTGAACAGGCACCCCACGGCATTAAAAATCTCACAATTAGAATTTTTTTTAAAACTGAATTAATTGTTTCTTTGAGTTTAAAATTGGACGAAGATGGAACTTTCTACGAATGAGCAAAAGAATGAATTCTTTATGCATATTTTCCATAAAATATAATTTAATTTTTACGGGAATCGAAAATCAATTAGAAAAATCCATGCTAAGTAAGCAGTCATTTTTTACAGTGAGCAGTTTCTGCATGAGACCGGAAAAAAGTTCTTTCGGAAGCCGGCATCCTGAGGTAACTGAATGAGTATAGAATTACGCTGCATGATGACTAGTTTTATAAACCTTCCTTAATTATCTTTCAGAAACGTAAACGCATTTTGGAATTTCGGCTGAAATTTCTTGAATTCACTCACTTACTGTACAATAAAAATCTGTCTTAGACTTCTACAGTACCTAGAGACAAAAGTCTCGCTTTCACCTCTCATCGGAAAATGTCCCCATACAGCCGTGCTAACGCGAGTCAGGAAACACGCACACCGCTGCCATTGTTGTCGGTGTACGCTGCCGGCAGGAAAAAAATTCACACAACGCCGTCAGCCCAGCGTGGTCGTGATCGCGTCCCGTAAGGACACTCAGTTGGTTCAACGAGAAGACACCCACGGTTGGACTATAAGTACTGCCAAGCACTGTCAGGGTGTTCGAATCGAGGACGAACAACAGCGACAGCAGCATGCTTAAGAGACTGAGTGATGTTCTGCCCAGACCGGACCCCTGGAAGTCTTGCATCGAGCGGTCTGAACTGACCGAGGAGCTGGAACGAGCCGTGGTCAAGGAGATGCATCGGATTGTCGGACGAGCCGAGACTGAGAGGGACATCGCCAAGGAGCTGAAGTTGTTCCTCGAAAGGGAGGTCGGCGGCCGTTGGTGCGGTATTGTGGGCACGGCTTTTGGCACGTAAGTCCTGGGTTCTATTCCGAATGCCTGTTATCTACTAAATCTAGACTGCCCTCTGTGAGGCTGTTCTCCAAACACTTGTCATATTTCAGTAGGCCTATGGGATTTACAGGCAGTGGACTGGCGGCCGATGCGAAAGGCTAATTGGGGAGGAGGAGGAGGTGCGGTCGCTGGAACAGGGCGTTTTCTCGTCTGAAGTTTCGGCCTCACACAGGAATTCATCATTAAAGACGTTCGATTGGTGACGCTCAGGAGAATAGGTAGTAAGCGCTATTTGGAGTGCCAGCATTTTCGATACCAAAACTCGTGAAATACTCTCAAGAAACATCAAACTTACTTTCGAATAAAGCTGGTTTCCAGGATGGGGTTGCATTAATGGTAGATATGAGAGACAATACCCTCCAATAACGATTGTTTCTTCGCCGGAAAAAATGCCAGCTACTTTGCGTTATATTCTTACTCTTTGATGCGGACATAATTGTAATCGTTGTCAGTACGATAAAAACTGATTAGAGATTGGCACTTTACATGCGTTCAGTTAAAAAATGCAGATCCCTGAAATTCGGTTTTAAGTGCTTTGCTTACAGACACCACAGGCTTTCCCCCGAAATATGTCGATTGGCTCGCTCCCGGAGTTTCCTGCATTTTCAAATCGTTGGGAAAACCCTCGAGAACTATCCCTGACAACTGCACGGAAACCCAGAAGAACGTGGAAAAAACCAGGCGCCGTTCAAAGCGCCCATGGTTTTTGGATTTGCTTAGTATCAGATCATTTAAAATCAGCGAACGGTAAACTTTACAAGGAAATAATTCTATGAAAGTTTGCGTGAAGATGACCTTTTCTCCTGCAAAGCTCAATAAGTCCAATTCGATGTGTGCACAGCAGATATTTTGGAACAAAAAGTCTCGGCACAATAGTCAGTGAAATGGCAACATTTCGGACTCCTATATGTCCTTCACTGGCAACGCAAGCCTACGAGAGCCTATTTTACTGGTCTTTGGTCAATTTTTCAAAAGTTTTGATAAATTCTGCAGCCACTTTTAAGACGGGAGGAATGTAACAAGTTACATCGTCTGGTTTCCGTTGATGGCTCCTCGGTCAGCTTACTGTAAAATGCCGGTGTCTCGGCGTGGGGTTCACTTTAGGAGTCGTCTCAACAGAGGAGGCTTACTTGAAGGGCAATTTAGATCTTTGAATTGCTTTTAAGCTTGAGTTCCCGCGACCAGCTTGGGATACTCAGTTGTAAAGGGTCCGAATGAATAGGAAACAAATCGTATCCTGGCAGGAGAAGGTCAAAAACTGGCAAGATGAAATGATGCTGCCGGTAGGTTGTACCATCTCTAGTTCTCACGATGCTAATATCTGAAAGGGGCAGTGCCTACTAAAGTACGTTGTCTACGCAGTTCGAAAAACCCTGTAGTTAGGTAGGATCGAACTGGCGGATCAGGGCGTCTGCGATGCACGCTCTACCTCTTAATTACCCCAGTAACGCGACTCGATCGTGTTTGCATTCTCCAGGAGCTGCGAGGCGAAACTGATGCACAGAGGATTGACAGTTTTGTGCGCACTGCTTCGGAAACTTGATATAGTACTTAATCTTACCAATCAGAACAGCCTCCTGACACAAGGCTGCAATCATTGACAGTACCGACTATAATCGTTAAATCAGTGATACCTGAAATCACGGCGGACGTCTGAGGCTAGAACAAAGCCAGACTTTAAGCTGCATGCTGCCTCATCCTGTCGATTGAGATTCAGACTATTCAAAGTCACATGACGGCGAAATTCCTCCATCTGTCCTGATTGTGGAATGAGGGCCGTCATTTTCGTTTTTGCGCTCTAGACCCCCAGCCCTCGCAAGTGCTCGCAGATCGATTATTAAGCAGCAAACTATAGGCGCAAGTGGCAAGGAAGGTTGACAATGAAATGATCGTTTTCGGCGTAGCTGACATCATCAGACAGCCATCCGACTGCGCCAAGCGCTCCAAACCTTTTTAGTCTTCTTTGAGGGAGGAATGTCTTGCATTTCTAGCAAAACCGTCATTAAGTATAAATTGAACTCGTCAGAACCAGAAGAATCTAGAGTTATCAACCCAGTTACAGGCGTGGCCGCGATAACTCAAATGTAGCCCATCCCGAGCAAGCTTAAAAAGTCAGCTGTGCGAGCCCTTTTCGCGGCATATGCTTCCGACCGTACACTCCTAGATCTGCCCTGATCCAGAGTCAGGACTTAACTCGAGGTGGGCGGACTGCTGAGGTCTATTGCACTTCTAAAGATAGAATGACTCAATTCGCCCTTGTCACTCCGTTTTTTTTTCTGTTTCAGCTTCCTCACATATGAAGAGCAGGGATTCATACACCTGCGTCACGAAGATGAACACATAATTTTGTTTAAATCGGCCTGAGCTGTTTTATCCCTACTCCCCTTATCACCGAATAGAGCAAAGAATCCCCCTGTTTCTGTCTTTTTGCTCCTGTCTCAAGCGGGTCGGAAGATGTCAGTGAATTGTGTGTGTAGAGGGGCTCTTCTATGGAGTGGGATGTATCAAAGGCCTTTTGTCGTTACTTCAGAGGTGACGTATTTCCATCGGGCCATTCTGTATTAGCATTTCAGTCGCCGTTGCGTTTGCAACTTGTTCTTTAATCTGCCTTGGCACCCGATTAAATTCAAGATAGGAGCTGACTGCGGCCGAATTCAGATGGGAAAACGCGAGTAAGAGGTAGGAGAGGAGCGGCAGGGATAAAGGGTAAATTGACAGTGGGTAGCAGCCTAATTGGCTTTAAGCCATGGCATCTACGGGGAATGCAAGAACTGAATTCGTAAACGCAAGCCACTCTCCATACACCAAGAAACAGCGAAGAATATATATATATAATGTCATTATGAGGTGTGTTTTTGACAAATATGAGTAGATGGTTGTAAAAAGCTCGGCGATCTTAGTGGGAGTTGGGGCAGGGCTTGAGTACAACCTACGCTCCAACCAACTAGATTACAAGGTTCCGACTGGGGATCGTGAGTACAATCATATTTGGGTCGGGTTGTCGGCCCAGCCTTCTGCAAAATATGAAATCCACCACTTCCGATACAGTAAGATGACCGCCCAGAAAGCATTTCCTAAACAATCAGTATAGAATCTACCGGACGACTATCAGAATCACTTAGTTTATGGACGTTTTTAGCAGACTTAAATGATTCTTTTGGCCCATTTTGTGAAAAAAGCGACAGCTTCGGTGGTATTCGAACCCAGAAAAATAAGGGAAAGACTGTTTAAAAAATGGTGGAGTCAAAACGTTGCGGTAGATAGGACAAGTAACTTGATCCAAATGTGATGAAGTTCAGGGGACTACAGGGTTGACTGTACGCAAGCTTTGCCCCAGTTGTCGTGGGTAAGAATCCCCTCTAGGTCGTCAAACTCTCCACCGATGCAACAAATGAATAATAAGGATGAAAAAAAACAATCCGTGCACTGCGGACAAGCGAAAAGGCGTGTGAGATTCGGTCCTACGACAGGGAAGGGCTTCAGTCTAACCAACCCTCCAACCAACTAGACTGCGAGGTTCCAACTGGGGATCGCGAGTCTAATCACATTTGGGTCAGGTTACCCGTCCAGTCTGCTGCAAAATATGGAATCCATCAATTCTGATACAGTAGACAGACCGGAAAAGCAGAATTTCCAAAGCAAATAATACAGAATCTACCGGACAACTACCAGAATCACTAAGTTGATGGGTGCTTTTATCAGACCTGAATAATTCTTTTAACCCTTGTGTGAAAACGCGACAGCCTCGGTGGGATTCGAACCTGCCATAGCAAGTGGAAGGCCGTGTTAGAATTGTTGGAGTCTAAACGTTGCATTAGACTGGACGGATAATCTGATCCAGGTGTGATGAAGCTCCGGGGAGGCTAGAGCTTTGTCCGTATTCAAGCCCTGCCTCCCTGTTTTCGTGAGTTCAAGTCCCCCCGAGGTCTCCAAGTTTCCCCCCCCCCCAGTTGGGTCAAATGAATAATGAAGGTCAACAAAAACAATCTGTGCACTGAAGGCCAGTAGTATGGCGTTTTGAGATGCGAGCTGTTGACGTGTAAGAAGACGACTAACTGAGGGGCTAAATATAATTGTGTTAACAAGCAGTTTGGCAAAGGGTATGACCGGGATAGCGTGGATGCGAATTAGGAAACCCTGCTGTCGTTCCGGCCATATTGCCTAACAAGGATAGATCGAGTTAAAAAATGCTGCTGGCTGTTTGGTGAACAAGAAAGGCAAATGGCGCGCAAATAACCCCCCGTGTCGGGTCGAGTTTGACTTGCGGCTGGCTGACGATGACTGACAAGTCGAAAACGGCCATACCATTCAGAGTTCTGGAACACAGTCTGAACATACTCATATTTTGGCGTTGCAAGATACCATATTAACACTAACTAAAGACCTTTTCCCAGCACTGCCACAAATCATTCATGCGACATGGTTCAAAATGTTCTCCTTTTAACGTTTTTCTCTCCATCACATACTGATTACCTTTGAGGGGCACAGGTACTAGCTAAAAGCTCATACACGCTTGCTTCATCGATGCTCTGCCGCTGCATGGTTTAGCTGCGAAGGGTTCGGCTGACCAGTGGATCACTCAGCATTCCCTCTGTTTTCTGGTAGATACTCCAAATTAGAAGTTGTAGCTTTTTTAATTTCCCTATAAATTAACTGCGAACTTTGAATAAATCGGTATATTTAAGGTCGACAGGCTCAAACCTAAGGTTTTATGTAGGGTATCACCTTACCATAAAGTATACGACTAGTTGTCTGTCAGAAGTTAATGAATATTACCCGGTTATCCGCTGTGGTTGATGGAATTCGGCCGAAATATTTATACATAAAAACTAGTCTGTGCCTATAGACCTTAAATATCCTGATCCACTCCAAGTTCACGGTTAATTTCTAAGCAAATTAAAAAGCTATAAGTGCGCATTTTTACTAACTGCGGTTTCTGTGGGAGGTAGAAAAGGGGAGCATTCAAAAGCTGACATTCTGTTGAGTCCGAAATATTATAGGATCGTGCTACATGATGACCAGTTTTACAACCCCACCTAGGTAATCCTTCCTAACGCATTTCAGAATTTCGACCGACATTTCATGAGATTGGTCACTCGTTGTGCGCCCGATGTAAGAAGTTGAAAGCTATCTCAATGACATCTTTTCAGGTCCCAACTGCACACGCGAGTTTACGGCCGTTGTCGCTGCCGCACCACTTCTGGCTGTTTGATGAAAAAGGGAGGCAAATGGCGCGCAAATAAGCCCCCCGCGCCGGGTCTGGGATTGAAGTGCGGCTGGCTGACGATGGCTGACGAGTCAGAAACAACCGTACCATTCAGATTTCTGGAGCACAGTCTGCGCATGTTCACGTTTTAACGTTAGAAGATACCATTTTAACAACACAGGCACTAACTACAAGCCCCACACGCGTGTGTTTCGCCGATGTTTTGCCGCGCCGCTGCGAAGAGTTCGGCTCATCAGTGGGTCCCCCTAGCATTCCCCGTGTGTTTTCTGGCAGAAACTTCAGTTTAAAATTTTTCGCATCTTGCAACGCCATAACATACTACTACCTACCTGTTGACAGTCAATGAATACTACGTGGTTATCCCACTGTGACTGATGGATTTCTGCCCAAATATTTATAAATCAAATTCTGGTCTTCGCTTATAAACCGGTCTACTCCAACTTAGCATTTAATTTCTGAGGAAATTAAAAAGTGACAATTTCTAAATTGGAGTATCTTCCAGAAAACACATGGGGAATGCTGGGGGACCCACTGAAGAGTCGAAACCCTCGCAGCTGCTCCATGCAGCTGCGGAATGTAGGCGAAACACACGTGTATGGGTTTTTTACTAATACCTGTGTTGTTAGTATGGCATCACCTTACCCTAAAGTACACTACTAGCTATCTGTCGACATTTAATTAATTTTATGCGGTTACCCGCTGTGGCTGATGGACTTTGGTCCACATACTCATGTATAAAATTCTCGTTCTGTGCCTGTAGACCTTGAATAAACTGATCTACTCCAACTTCGTAGATAATTTCTGTTGAAATTAAAAAGCGACAGTCGTGTCTGCTTGTTTAATAATACTCCCCGTTAAGTAAACAACACAGTCCACATTCGCCGCGACATTTATGACTCCTTATGGTGTTTTCCTAACGGCATAGAGGAACGTATATTTTTCTTTATAGAGGAAGTATACAGCTTGAAGTCTGAAAACTTTGCGCAAAAATGCAACGGCTGATTGGATCAAAAATTGTTCGGGTATGGAAAAACCTCTTTTAACACCGAAAACACTCTTTCTTCGAGCATAACATTTGAAGAGGGCATGATCATCCATAAAATGACTACAAGAGAAAATATTCTTGCATGCGTTATATGCAAAATAATTTCGAATTTATAAGGTCAAAGAAAATCGATAGAGAAAGTGCTAAGTACATGACTAGTCATTTTTTACCGAGCGCAGTTTTTGCAGTCGGCCAAAAATAAGTACATTTTAAGCCTAAAATCATGGCGGGTCTGAAATATTACGAAATCCGGTCGCAAGATAGTCAATATCACAACTCCACATAAGCATGCCTTCCTAATCGAGAATAAGTCTTAGAATTTTGATTAACATTTTTACGAGATCGGTCACTGGCCATACTGAACCAGTGGATTCAGAGCTTGGTCAAGACATACGCATCGTGAAATTATCCTTGTCTACCATCGGTAATATGGGTACTGCCTTGTCATCGGAGGAAGGTCCCTGGTGCGCGCTTGATGTCGCTCACGTTTGCCTTAATGCAAACCACTACTACTACTACTAACTACTAACTACTACTAACTACTACTACTACTACGACAGTTTAACTGTCAGTAGTGTGAGCCCAGTCCGTGGGGCCTGCCGTGGACGCTGTTGTTTGAGACAGTCGAACTATCGAAATCGCCAGACATCGAGGACGATCTCATCCCTCCAAAAAGCCAGTATGGTGTGGCCTCCAGCGAAGATAGCATCCCCTCCAGGCGTTTACTTGTTACAAAAAATGGCTGCATTCATGTTTATCCAACTGTGAAAAAGTCGGTAGGCTCTGTGGGATTCGAATCTACAACAGTAAGGGGAAGGCTTGAGTACAGCTAACGCTCTAGCCACCTGAGCTTCGACAGAAACCGCGAGTTTAATCACATTTGGGTCAAGTTATTCGTCCACTCCGCTGTACCGAATGGAATCCACCAATTCTGGTACGGTGAGCTGACTGTCCAAGCAGGTCGGTCTGAGCCTATAGATCTTGGAGAAACTGATCTACTCCAACTTCGTAGATAATTTCGGAGAAAAATTAAAAAGCGACAATTTCTAAATTGTCAGCAGTTAGGGAATATTACGCGGTTATCCGGCTGTGGCTGATGAACTTCGGTCTTAATATTCATACGTCAAAGTTCGGTCTGCTCCCATAGACTTTAGCATAAACTGATATACTTCAAGTTAGCAGCTAATTTCGGAGGAAATTAAAAAGAAACATATCCACATTATTGTTTCCTCGATTTTTAGCGAATACTTTATGCTAGCTGTCCATATATGACCCATATAGTAAGGGACAAATTATCAACAGGACAGAAAACCGAAGCATAGTCTGAAAAATGCAAGCATGGAAAATAGGACACTCACAGGGAGAACTAGTGAAGGTGTCAATCTTTCTTAATTTTTTTTTCAAGTTCTTGCACACTAATTTTACGCTCGTACCTAAGTGGCAAAACAAATTGACGAAATTACTCATCTGCTGCAGTGTCTTGTCTTGACTCATTGGGAATTGATCGTCAGCTGTTGCAGGTAATAAGTACTACTGACAAAGACAAGGGGGACTAAAACCGCTATTTCTAGCCCATTTGAATGACCTCTCTCAGGAAGAACTCGTGATCGTCTGTTGTTCCTTGTTATGCAATAATTCGTTACAGAAGACAATGTGGAATCCCCGAACTGCTTCAGGCAACTAGAACATTTGGGCGAACGTCACTCACAGGTTTGTTCAATGATTTATGACTCGGATAGTCCGACAGACGTTATCCTAATGTGAATCTTTTAGTTACAATGAATGGAAAGTGTCCGGTTGTTTACAAAAGTGGGTATAGAATCAGTTCCATATATACATATATATATCTACGACTGTCTCTGATGATGCGTTCGAGTAGAAATCCGAAAATTCGGGCCAACAAACTCCTTGCTCCAGCGATCACATCATCATCATCATCATCATCATCATCATCTTCTTCTTCCATATATATGATAGTTTGACCGTCGCAGACGAGGATATCCACCGTGCGCCCGTAGTATGGTGGACTCAGGGTGGTGACTCACGCGCGAATCAGTTTATTACGATAGGCAAATTTTCGTAGCATCTACCGCATTCTCTTCCCTATCACCCACCTAGGCCCGATGGTCTAACAAGGTTCGGACGACCAGAAAAGGCCTTGGGCGCGGACCGTCTACGTGGGCCACGCATGAGCTATCCTGCGCACAATTCACCGGGTTTTCGCAAAAATAATGGGCGACTGGAATCCTAACTGAGTAGGAATACCATAGAAGTTACATTAAGAAGGAGCCATTTAGCTGGACTCCATCCTGAGAGTCCCGAGTAATCCTGCCAATTGACAGTCTTCCA